CAAGTGCCCACACACACACACACACACACACACACACACACACACGGAGATGAACACATATACGCACTCGCAAACACAGTTGAGTTACATACGAAAGTTTAGCCCTCTGTACTTGGCAACACTTTGAAAACGAGCGCCGTTTAGCAAACTGAAATGCGTGTATTGCAATGAGGCAATCATAGAGGGGGGACGTCAGGGAGGGGCATAAAAAGGGCAAAAGGGGTAACGACGGGCTCCATTGGCAAGCAAGTGGCGCAATTCTAATTGAAAGACGGGATAGTTCATTTGAGGTTCTTCAGCGCTTACAACACGCTAATTGCTTATGGCCATTTTCCATGTTTTTTTCGTAATCAGCACAGCAACAAAAAAAGAAAACAAGAACAATTATTTTGAGCAACAATTATGCACTATATAGACTATAAGTTATTATAATAGCATAGCACTCATAATTCTGAACAAGTGCATAAATTAAGCGCGTAATCAGTGCACATTTCCGTGCTACCTGTTACACCTGTAATTTTTTCTGTCATTTCTCTTGCCACATTTTTGTTGTGTTTCTATTGCCTTTGTTGTCGTTGCGATTGTTGTGCAGAGTTCAACGAAATGCATTAAAGCCAACGGAGCGCATTAAAACGCATCAAAACCACTCAAATGTTAAATGAAAACTTTTCAGAAAACAAAACCCCATTGGTGGAAATAATGCCAGCAAAAATGCCATTGCGGTCTACAACAGCCCAACGCTGCACTTTTGCAAACAATTTAATGCCAATTTAATTTGCTTAACTTTAAATTTAAGCATTTGAAATTTGTTTATTATATAGAGAGCGGCAGATGAAAGTGATTTATAGAGTTAGGTATAGGTATATATATAAGTGTTCAATAATATGACAAATATTATTATTTTTGTTGTTATTACATTATTACAATTAAGAGTATAGGATTAAGTTGTGAACTATCTACACAACTTTTATATCAAATTAAAGATTTACGCATTGGTAACAAAAAGAATTACATTTTTGGCAAATAATTTTATTACTATTATCACTAATTGAATTATTAGTATTCTTATATCATCATCATTAGTGTTATTATAGCTATTACTATTACAATAATGAGTATAAGATATATTATTATTATTATTACTATTATTATTATTATTATTATTATTTGAATTTTAAATTTTCAACCTATACCTATAATTTTTAAGTACTACACGTAATTTTTAACTGTATTTATAATTATTCATTTCATTTTTAAGCTGCATTCATTAGTTTGCATGAAATTCGAATCGGTATCCTCTAATACCAACGACTTGTACTAGCCTAAAATACGAACCCTAATTGTGGGTTCAGTTTTCTTTTGAGTTTTCTATCCGATATTTTTTAGTACAGTCCATAAATCACTGTCCCATACTTTTATTATAAAACTTAACCACAAAAGACTTCCTCTTGGCAGCAGCAAAGTATTTTCAGTTCACTTTGCATACAGTTTTGTATGGGTCTTCCTTATATAATGTTCTGCTCATGAATAAAGTGTGTTGTGTGTAGCACATGTCTTGAATCTTAATTTCGAATTATTGCTAATCACATTTTAATTGCCGGCAACTGTATTTGACTTCCTCCTCAGCTCTTTGGCTGGGCATCCTTTTGTCGTCTGTTTGGCTTGCACCTATATAATTGCTTAGTTCATAAATCTCTAATCGATTTTAGTGTGTGTTTAAAGCAATTTGTGCTTCCTCTGCCCATTAGGCATGTCAAATGCACATAAATTAAATATTTATATATTTTATTTTATTTTATTTGTTTTGTTTTCAATTTGTATTCAAGTGAATAAAGCAGCGGCAAACACTCGTTTGTAGATAAAAGCGAATATAACAACAACAAACAACTATCAAAGACTCGTATTGCAAAATCTATTATCATTCGCATCACGTTTTTTGCAAATCACGTTTTGATACACAAACAAACGAATATTTATGTGAGTGCACTTATGAGTTTGAATTTATACTCAAATAAATGTTGAATTATTTGTAGTTTTTGGCTTTATCTGCGCGGTTTTAGAGTGTGTTTATTTAACGGAATTTATGGAAGGCTGCTTTAATTGAATTTTATTTATTCTTTTTTGATTTTCGCAATTTACCAACAGAAACTGTTGATTTATGACACCATTCTGCAGATAGTATTTGTTTAAAAGATATGAATAGTAAGGGGAAATCGAAAACCCAGGCATGATATGTCTTTAGTTTAATATGGAAATGCCTTTTTATTGATAGCCAGCTAAAGAAGCTTAAGTTAGTTCTTTTATCTTGCCCCGCAAACAAAAGTCGTGCCAAGTCTGGGAAAATAACTAAAAATAGACACACCTGTGGATCGAACTGAATAAAAAGCTTAACCACTAAAACAATAAACAAAGAAATTATCAAAAATGCATGAAACGCAAAATAAATAAACTAAAAATAGCACGCAATCCTATATAAAAAGAATATATAAAAAAGGAATAAAAAGAAAGGAGAAAAAACAATTAAGACGCTTTATTTATTTAGATGGGGAAAACACTTTGCTCAGTTTGGCAATTGGCCAAATTGTACGAAACGTAATTTTATAACAACAACAACCGCTTTATATAAATAAACAAGAACAAGTGCCACCGATACGGCGACAAGAGCAATTATGACAACAACAACCAGTTCTTAGCGAAAAATATACATAATTGATACGTGTAATTAAGGTGAGAAGAAGATGAGCAAATTTGGCGTACAAATTAAAGATTTCTGCTTAAATGTTTGATAGCTGACAAATAAATATTCCCACAGCCAAATAAATAGGTATAAGCTAAACTATTTAGGAAAACTCCAATCCTTTTTTATTAAACTTTTTAGACGAATTTTAAGAGCAACTCAATTTGTGGATATTACCAAGAAATGCGACTCAGACACACCCAACACAATTTTTATCTTTGATATACACACGTCTCGCACACTCGCACCCAAATACGCACAACAAACAAACCTACAAATGAACAATACAAAAATCGAATGCCAAATTCAATTTTTGCCATTTTTCACTTTTATTTTCAGCGTGCTCTTTCGCTCACTCGCACACGCACCCGTACACTCACACGCACAGTGGGGCACATACATAAATATTTACTGCATATGCGCTCTTAACACTTTTGGCAACAGCCACAGCGAACAGTCAGGGTCATTATCCTAAACGGGCAGCGTGCTCGCTCAATGTTGTTGTTGGCTTTTTTCTTTAGGCTGACTCGTTTAGCAGTCGGCTGCCCACCGACTCTGTCCCCATTTGGCCGCATGCCCTGCACTCCTTTCTTTGCAACCATCGATCTCTGCCCTTGTCCTGCCGGTTAGCCACATGCCAAGAGCAACTGCAACAGCAGTAACAACATCAGCGAATACTGAAATAAAATGCAACGATGCATGCAAAATGCGCAATGGGCCAATCGAAAAGACATTTTGGCAAGACCTAGGCGAACTAAAAGGGGCGCTACACTAGCCGGAATCTGGGCGAAACTTATAAGCCAAATAACAGAAAAAAATATTATTTAAGAGGTGATTAAATACACAACTATTTATTCTTATTGTAAATTTAGTATATAGTTGGGATTCTGCGATTCGAACCCGCAACCTTCACACAGTATTGTTTTGTGTTGTAAAGAAATTTAATTAAACTGATATGTTTGACTTACCAATATGGTCAAAGTCAGGTAGCACAATCTCAAATAACCAACTGCTAAGTAACCAAGTCACCCATACGCACACACACATGCACACACAATGAATTATGCGACCATAAATAGGCGTCAAAATAAAGTTTTGTATTCAATTGGTGGAATCGCCGGGTCTTTGGCTCGCTTGGTTGGTTGAGTAGACTGCTAAAAACTGAGTGCATATAAAAATTAAATAATATAATGGCCAGACGTCGGAGAGGGAAATAGAGGTATAACAAGTAGGTGTCCAAGCTGACTCTGCGTGTCTGTTTTTGTAGTAAGGAGAACTGGAACTGGTTGCCTGCTCCTCTTTATGTGGTGGACAGTGGCTGTTGATGCTGGCATCTGGTGGCTGGTGGCTTGCTGAACCACTTTTCAGTGTCAGCCGCACACCCACGAGTCTTTCGTGCGGCCTCTTGGCCACCCATTTGCCATGGCACTAGCCCTGCCAGCACAATATAAAATATTTAAATGCATTGCATTTCCCTGACACAGCAGGCAACAACTTGGGATCTGGCAAAAGCAGGGGGAGGGGAAATTGGAGCATCAGGCATATTATTAATGGCAACGCCTTTGCCAGTGGCATTGGCCTTCAGATGGCGCTTGGGCGCAACGAAATGGCCAAAATGCAGGAAACTAGGGAAATCGCCATTTGCTTAAATTACTAAACGGGTCGGTCTATAGTTGAAAATAAATATGATTTGTGTCTGATCCAAAAAGTATATGGAAAGTGTTGGCTTATTTACAAATTTATAAAGTGTTAACGGTACGTGGAAAGTTGGACTGAAATGAACATTAAATTACTATGAAAAATTTGTATATTCTGTTAGATCAATGGTATTCCTTCATTTTCTCTCTTTGCCCGGTTTTATCCTAAATCGTTGTGAAATACTTATAAGTTCCAACAGATTTTCCTTAGAGAGAATTTAACACGAACAAGAATTAAGCACTCAATATAAATATTTATATTTAGGGCTTTTGATAGTGAAAGCCTTTTTACTGTTCAATGCAGAAATTTTGAAAAGACTTTTCAGTAGGTAAAGAGGAAATTGAAACACTTCTGATAAGACGCTTATCAGTGCGGAAGGTATTCAAAATAAACAGTTATAAATATGAGACAATTAATATGGCCGCTTATCGCCAGCTAAACGAGCGGCCCCACACTTTTTGCCAACTAGGCGGCCATCGATTTCACCAATTCGTATTTATGGCCAGAATTCTCATATGGAAAATACTCTCTTAACCCACAACTGTTTCGGTTGTTATCGTTTCAGTATTAAAACGACTGTGGTTAGTGTCGGACTCGAAGAAACAAATGTTACATCGTTCTTAGAGACGTAAAGTGCTTGTAAACCAGGTAGAGCTGTGCGGTAAATAACAGTAAAGAGATCTCCGGCCAGATTATGTACTGCCAAGAGATGCTGCTGCTGGCGTGCCTAATGCTGCTGTTGGGTGGCCAGCCACATTTGACATCCACCACAACGACGACCACTTTGGTGGCGGCCATGACGATTGCCAATCAGGATCTGGAGCGTTACTTTCGGCCAGCCAATGCGACACTCGTGTTTAGCAGCCTAGCCGAGGAGCGGCTCTCCGATTTCTATAATTTCGCCTTCCTCAACTGGTCGTACGTGGACAGCGAGAATATTCCCTGTGAAATTGAATTTACGGACGAAAAGGCGCGCTACGGCGAGGGCAGAGTGCTCAATGTCACGGGTCGTCTTGTTCATATTAGCACCGCCGATGATATTAGCGACGACTTTGCCTGCACACCCTATATACGTGGCACCCTGGGTATGCCGCTTCCCGAGAAGGGCGTATCCTGGATAGCGCTGGTTCGACGCGGGCGATGCACGTTCGAGGATAAGGTGAAGCATGTGTATCAGTATAATGCCGCAGGGGTTATCATCTACAATGACAAGCAGGTCATGCAGCTTGAAAAGATGCAGATCAAGAACAAGAATCGTAAGTTTCATCTGCTGAACGCAGTATAGTTACAGCATTCTCACCATCTCCGCTTTGATTACCAGGTAATATTGCCGCCGTGATAACCTATCAAGCGATTGGACTCGATCTGGCCAGCACTGTCGATAAGGGACACAATGTAACTATTTCCATTATCGAAGGACGTCGTGGCATCCGAGCTATCAGCGGTTTAAATCGGTAAGAGCATTAAAAAAACTATTAAAAAAGCATTCCAATGGGTAAAAATATCCAATAGCTAGATTTTAATATGGAGACGCCGGGGTTTGAACCCGGGACTTCTCACATGCGAAGCGAGCGCTCTACCACTGAGCTACGTCCCCATGAAAACGGGTTGTGCAAATTGCTTTACTTATGCCAAGTGCCCCAAATCTCCATACAAAAAGTGACACTTTTTTGAATGAAGAACAAATATTATACTGCTTGCTGGCTTGTGAAATATTTTATTCATACAATCCCGCAGTAATCCGGTATAGAAATAAGATTTTCAAAAAGCTAATCGTGATTAATCAATTAAACTTGGGGTCATATTCAACAGAAAGTAAAAAATTTATATAGAAAATAAACTGACAATTCTCAATGGAGACGCCGGGGTTTGAACCCGGGACTTCTCACATGCGAAGCGAGCGCTCTACCACTGAGCTACGTCCCCATATAACGAGTAAGTGCAGAACGCTTCACTTACGTCAAGTATCACACAGCCTTTGGCAAAAGGTGCAAGTACTCCTGTACTTATATTGAAAATAAACAGCATTGCACTGCTTCACTCTGCAATAAAAAATATCCGCCCATCATTGAGCTGCTTACATGCAAAACCAGAAGTGTGCCTTAATCGGAGAATAACACAAGCCGGTGGTCCCAGATTCCGAGTCTTGATTATTTAATCCGTTGTTTTACATAAGTAAACAATTATTAATGTTGCAAAAGGGTAAAAAGAACACGCACTTGTTTAAGCACAAATGGAGACGCCGGGGTTTGAACCCGGGACTTCTCACATGCGAAGCGAGCGCTCTACCACTGAGCTACGTCCCCTTGTAACCCACCTGAGACAAAAATTGCTGTTCAGCGCGAACACTTGAATTGGAGTCAAATTTAGAGCTTTATCGATTTAAAGTTTGTTTAACTTTTGTATTTATGTAAACCTGTAATTAATATTCATTTTACTCTTTTCAGAACCTCCGTTCTGTTTGTCTCGATATCGTTTATTGTACTCATGATTATCTCCCTGGTATGGCTTATCTTTTACTACATACAAAGGTTCCGTTATATGCAAGCAAAGGATCAGCAATCGGTAAGATATTAATTTTTAAATAGAATATCATATGCTTACGTTTAAATAATTAATATAACTGTCACAATTCAGCGCAATCTTTGCTCAGTGACAAAGAAGGCCATTATGAAAATACCAACCAAAACGGGCAAGATGACCGACGAAAAGGACTTGGACAGCGACTGCTGTGCCATTTGCATTGAGTCCTACAAGCCCGCTGACATAATACGCATTCTGCCCTGCAAGTGAGTCAAGAATTGAATTGAATATTGAGTAAGTTGACTATGATATGAGTCTGTTTTAGGCACGAGTTCCACAAGAACTGCATTGATCCGTGGCTGATCGAGCATCGCACCTGCCCAATGTGCAAGCTTGATGTCCTCAAGTTCTATGGTTATGTGGTGGGTGATCAAATCTATCAAACACCCAGTCCACAGCATAATGCGCCCCTCGCATTGCCACCCATAACGGCAGCCGCTGCTGCTGCTGGTGCCGCTCCAGCCGCTTCTGAGGAGGTAGTGCCCGTCATTGTTGTGGGCCTGCCGCAGCACAACATCAGTAGTTTAAATCCTAGTGCTATCAACTATCATCAGCGTAGTCCCAGCAGTAGTTACCACCAGCAACAGTCGCAGCTGCAGCAGCAACAGCAGTCACAGCAGCAGCAGCAGCAGCCTCAACAGGGTGGCTCAGCTGAACGCGAACGCGAACGCGAACGCGGTAGACGCAACTCGGCACCGGCGACAATGCCGCAAATAATTTGCACTGCCAGTCGCCAGGTGACTGATGTATAAGTCGCCCGGTAACTGATTTATTAGTAATCCTCGTATCTATATAATTACGTTTACGTATAAAATCACTTATATGTTTAAATTTTACATTCTACGTGCTGCGTACTTACCATGTAAATATGCGTGCAGCGGTGCGCCCAACTGCTTGCGACAAGCAGTGCCAAGCAGTGCAAAGCAGTGAACGCCGTGTACTTAAAACGCTGAACAGCAGTCGAGCGAAACTAACGGTAACTCTATGGAAAAACATTCAATAGGAAATGTATCTTGAAGATTATTAAACCATAAGATACATCTCCAATTGTATTGTGTAACAGCTCTAATCAGCGTAGTCTGTAGACACAGAACTGAAGAAGAATGCCCACGCACATTGAAAAAGAGAAAAGAAAACAACATAAATATCGCAGAGTTCTAAGTTTTATATTTAAGTTCTAAACTTAAGCGTACCAATTGTCGATAAACAAAAAACAAATTACGAAAGAAGCGCAAACAGAAATATTTACGAGTACTACAATAACTACTATTACTATAAACTATGTATAACTATGTAAATGTATTATTATAATTCATAAAACGCGTAGCCGTAGTAGCTGTAATATTTAATGCAAGATAATTTGTAGCAAAATCAGCGCCTGTTTTGCTAGTCAGTAATGGCAATGGCTAAAGCCCCGCCTCAAACACATACTATACATACACATACAAGCATTAAACACTCAAGTAACACTCATTCACACAGAAAAATCACACATAAACATAATGTCGAAGGTGCCAAAGTATTTGCTTTTAGCTTTAGTTGTTCAAATTGAATAAATATACCGCTAGTTATATTATTTATTTTAATTTTTCTCGGTTTTTCTCTATGATTTCGCAGTCCATTTAATGGACGAATTTGAATTCGACAAACATTATTATCCGAAAATATTTAACAAGCTGGCAACTTGGACAAGCTTTAGAGAAGGCTACATAAACACTTAGCACAGCTGCGTTAATGCTTGATCCTTAAAACGGATCCTTAACTATACGAGAGCACAAATATTAATACGAGTTATGTGTGTATATAAATATGTACTTAGAAATGAGTTCCAGGGTTTCGGAAAATTGCTTTATACCTAAGAAAACATATCTGCGATCCAATGCCAAAAATGAAAAGAAAAAAAATACCAAAACCAATTGCATATTATTTTGTTGTATGTTTTGTTTTGCCCATTTCGAACAATTTATCGCCAGGAATACTCCACAAAACCAGAAAACTGCCCGCTAAGCATAAAACAAGTCAGAGTTAAGAAGACGTAGGGCCTTAATTAGTTGTCGATTACAATTACCAGATATGTACTCCATAAATATATATACCATATAGTTTTTGCTAAAACCTTAAACAGAACGTGGACTCAAGCATATTTAAGAACCTAAAAAACAGAACAAAATAAATTGATTGAATTTGAAAACGCTTCGCTTGTTTGCCATGTAGATGCCGTTGAGCTTCTAGCGCTTATCCAATCATCAGTAGATTTACCAAGGATCGACTCCGGAGGACCTCCTCGCTCGCTCAATTGATTCATGGATCGGCGCATTCAATAACTTCTTTTCGTTTCAGTTTTTGGGCAGTGAAGAGAGCATATTGGAGTATGAACCGACTCGTACTGCCGGCAGCTCCAATCCGCCAGCAGCCGTTGTTTTAGCCCAGGAATCAGCACCGGCTCAAGCGCAATCCAGCGCTTTGGTCGATCTCATCCAGAGCCGTAACTTTGTAATAGATTTTCCGCGTGTCTTCGTCCTGAACAGCGGCAGCGTGGTGGGTGCTCGGGAGACGCTGTTTCCGGCCCGTCTGCCGGAGCGCTCCCAAAGTTCGCTCTCGCTGAGACAAGCGCGCGACTGGATGACCCAGATGAGCAACAAGCTAGAGGAGCAGCAGGGACTGAGGCGTTTTCGCAAGGACGAAATGCAACAGGTGGGTTACGTCTACAAGAAACGAATCCCTAACAACTCTTGTTCTTACAGCAACTGCTGAGTGCTCGAGATTCTACACGACAACGGCGTTCACGCTCTGCGGATGGAAGCTACGCAACCGGTTGCTTTGGTGGCCAGCGGCCGTCCATAGGTCAGGGACAAACGCCAGCGGTTCATCAACCTAAGGTGGATCCAGTGCGACGCACTAGCTCCACTCATGGGCTGCAGCAGCTAACGGATGCTTCGTATGCTCAGTCGCGCCAGAGACAAAGAGAAACCTTCGACTTTGCACGCACTCGTCGCCGCTTCATGCGGCGGGAGGACGACGAGATATCCTTGCAATCGCTGCCTAGGCGAGCCGCGCCCTTGCCACCCGGCGTAGTTCTACCAGCACCTACTTTGGCTAATCCACAGAGAGAGCGTGACGACGCTGAAGCTAGCGACTACATTACTATTCAGGTTAACGGAGAGGGCGTAGATCTTAATGAGTAATATTTAAAAGCACGTCGCTTATGTAGATTTGTATAAAGTATTCTGTTTAGTGAGTAAACTTACTGTTGATATCTATATCTATTAACATTCCCTGTATATTAATCACAGCTGTGAAAATAAAAATACTGCGAACGAATCAATAAAAGGTGCTTAGGCTTGCTGCAAGCCTTGTCCGGATCCATTGAGGTTTAGTCGAGTTATGGTTATAAATAAAATATATTGTTCTTGATAGAAAAGTGGTCAAAATTCAGCTATATCCGTCAGGATTTTCCAAGGATTTGGTGCGTTACGGGGGTCATCTAAGGATCAAGGACAGCTCCTCCAAGCCCTGGATCCTTAGATGACCCTCTTCGTTTTTGCGATCTTAACACACCGAATCCTTTGAAAATCTTCAAGGATATAGCCCAGGTTAGGCTACTTTTGTGTGGCTTTCTAGCCATAACTCGGCCAAATTCTTAAGGTTATCGGAAGGATATATATTTTTGAGCTCGTGGGTGGCAGGCCTATCGATTGGCACTCAAGGATTTCCGAGATTCGACTAAAAATTTCACCAAAAAGTTTTCCAAGAGGGGCAAATTGGCACAAACTCCAAAAATTCGGGCTAATTTTGTCATTTTTAGGACTATCGGGATGTCCTTTGGTCGGTAGATAGTCCTTACCCTCCAGGTAACAAATTATCAATAAAAAGGACGAAAATGATTTTAACTCGGCCATATCCTTGCGTATCCGTGCAAGTCATGTGTCAAACAGTTTCTATGGATCAGAGCTACAAACTATCCAAATGACATCCGAATCTAATTTGTGTGTTTGGCATGTTTTCTTGTGTTGCGCGATATTTTACAAGTCTTTGGATCCTTGGATGAACCCTAATGTTTTGATGCAGTTCGTTGGGTATGGTCTTTACAAACCTAACGCACAGTGTATTTTCAAAATCCGCGAGGATATAGCCGAGTGGCTAGTTTATAAAAAATAATAATAAAAGAATCTTATCTCCTTTTCTTATCTCCTTTGATTACCAGATACTATTTGACCTCATTAATTGCAATATGCTATAATAAGGAGAATATCCTTGAAGAAGGCAAGATAAACGGACATATCTTTATAGGCCCTATCCTATCGGGTCTGGTGTCTAACTATGATGTGGACCAGGGCTATCAACTGTCGCAAGGAGATCTAATTCGTCCTTGTAGTTTCCAAGAAATGTCTTGGCTTCACAACTACAACTGCTGGAAGAGTTTTGCAGGGTTGATGCGTAAGGATCTACTGATTAGCATTTAAGGATAAATCCGCAATCCATTAGAAATATTCATAAATGCTTTGCATTGTTGGCTTTGACAAAATGATTTCATTGCATACCTTTAGGACACAAATGGAAACAATAACATAAAAATTCCATTGCCTACTTTCAGTAAATCAAATAATTCTGCCCATTGACATGCAAATTTATTGCATACTTTTAAGCTGCACAAAAAACAGTATGTTTCTGGCTGGATTTTGATGTATCACCACAAAATAACATTATTGTCTTTTGACTAAATTCATAATTCATTTATTATTCATTTCAAGCTTAAAATTAAGCTAATTAAGCTTATAATTAAACAAGAAAATTAAATAAAATAAATTTAATTAAAGTTAGTTTACGTTTCATTTAATAATTGTCAACACATGACAGATTTGAAATAAAATTTTGTTTTTCATGACAAGAAAAAAAACATTACCACTATATTCTTGGCCATTATTATTATTAATCAATAAATTAATTATTCCCATTCAAAACTGTAAATTGCCAACCTAAGTTTGTGTATCTTTTCCTCATCCCCTTTGGTTGGGGTTTTAGTTTTAATGATTCACTCAGCGCGCAACGTGAGCTGTGCGCAACTAAATGCGATGCCCCCTGCACACCACAGCGCTCTTCTCTGGCCCACATTTGAAGCTTGGGCTGAATTCCATTAGGGATTTGCGCGTGCCTCGCTGACAACATGGACTTGGACAGAGCTCAGCGCTCAGCGCTAGTGCTGCAGCGGCGGCAGACATTGAGGCAGCAGCGTTATCCGACAAATCCGCAATGCTGGGGCCCAGACACTTCGACAGCTCCAGGGAGATCCCGAGAACCGGGCGAAAGCGAACACCAAGAAAAATAGAGCAAAAGTTATGAGGAAGCGACGGTTGAAGTTTGCCGCTCATAACTGCGCAGCCGATACCAAAGGCAGCTAATAAGAATTCATCAGGCACAGTCAGATCGGGATACAGCGCAGAGAGGCAGAGGGCGTCGGTCGGGTAGAAGGCCTGGCACTGGGATCGAGGGTCGCCTGCACGCGCCGTAATTGCAACGCAACAGGAGGGCCGCTTGGATCTGGAACTGAAGCTGAAGCTGTAGCTGTGCTTGTGGCTGTGGCTGTAGCTGTGACTGTGGATGTGGCTGTGTATGTGGACCGGCGGCTGCTGAGCTGCCTCTCGGTAGGCAGCGGCCTGGCCCATGTTTATAAACTTAAAGTCTGTAATCACATTAGCCATGTAGCCAGAGAGCGTTGCTCGAGTGGAGTCCGCCTGGCTGGACTTTGGGGCCAACTGTTGCAGCTTTATCACCTGACGTAGCGCTGCCTCGGCCCCAGTTCGAGTCAGCTCCTCTGTCCGCGTATCCCACGATCGCGATCGATGACAGCACGTACAAATTTTTCGATTGCAACCTCATCCTGCTCCTCCCTGCAGCTGCCTCGACCTGCTCTTCGTCTTTTGCGGCTCAGCTGGGGCGTGTCCGCGGTGGGCGTTGCAGGGCACATTCAAGATAAAATGATTATATTGTAGGAAGTGCAGGCCGGCTTGGAGCTGCCTCGTGGGTAATAAAGCAAAGGAGAATCACAAATCTACATATAACTCAGCTGAGACGTGTTGATGTCTATTGAGCCGCATAAATATATCATTGCGCAAATTGGACAGCTATCCAGCTGTGGAGCATAGTCTGAAGAGACAACCTACTGATTTCTAGATGATAAATATAATGCGTAAGTAACTTAAATAGCTGTCTAGTTGCGTTCGCTTCTGGGTCGATTAACCTGTTTTACTTAGTTTAAGATACGTTAAAATACATTATTTCTAAAAGCAATCAGTGCTAATTAATTTCCCAATATCTCTGTAGGTGTACACTTATATAGTATGTCCATCTAAATGTAAGCTGTGGTAATTGGCTAATATATTTCTATTTCCTACTTCCCTTTAGCTAATATTAATTAAAGTTACATGCAACCCTTTGAGCTGGCTATAAATAGATTAAGCCCCAAGCGATTCAGTTGATCCATATCGATTCGTAGGACTGTGCAACCCCAAATTGTGTCTGGTTAGCACTGGAACCCATAAATAATTAGTCGCACGACAAAAACAATGCGCCGTGCCAATGTGGCAATGTGGCAATGTGACGATGTGGCAAGTAGGAGGCATTCACGGTGAGGCGCAACAAATTGCACGATCGGCAGCTGCGACTCCGAATCCGACTCCGACTCCAACTCTGGGCTACAATGGGATTGCGAACGCCGTCGCTAATCTGCTGTAAATGGACAACATGCTGCAATCGTTGCAGCTATTGAGGAGCGAACATATGCGGCTGGCAAGGATCTTCGATCCTGGCAGTGCATATCGGAACTAATTGCACCAACAATAAAATTGTGTTCAGTGCCAGGTCGTAAGCCTCGAATAATCTGCTGCTGCAGACGTCCAGTCGATGTGTGAAGTTAAATCCAATCAATGAGCTGAAAAGAGCTAGAGAGAGATAGAGAACTCTTAGAGAGAGCGAAAGCGAGAGAGAGGGACTAAACATTTTAGTGTCATTTTCGAGAGATTTTCGTCTTTTATTTTATTTATTATAATTTATTTTAACGTCCAAATAGCAAACACCCTGAAAAAAACGACAAGATGAAAATAAACGAAGCCCCGACAAACGCGTGACAGGATGATCGTCAAAGGACCAACCAAAGGACAGTGCAAAATGGCGATTCGTTGCGCCGGCTTGTCATGTTTGCCGATCTCGCTGCCTGCGGCTTGGCTGAGTTCCTGTCACCATTGTCAACGTGTTCACCAACGCTCCAGCCATCTCTTTCCCAAGGCTGCTCTAGCGCTGTCTCGCTCGCACACTGCGATCTTGACTCTGCGCACGTGGGCTTGGCTCGTACTATTCGAAAACAGAGGAGCATACTGTTCACTGTCTGTAGATCACCCGAGCAGCATTTCCATTATTATTTTTAAGTAATGATGAAAGAAAATGTCAGACAATATTTACTCTTACCAAGTATAAATGATTCTTAATACAAGACTAGATCAGAAGCTCGAATTTCTTATATCAAAAATTATTTGAGTCCCACAAATCATAAATAATAGACTTAAGTATCTTTACAATATATTTTTTTGCTTCAATCGAAAATATTTGTTGAAGCCAGAAAATTTTTGTGTTTTTCAATGATCCAAGCCGACTTTTTGTAATCTACTAGAAATCACTGGATGAGAGCTCTAGCCGGGTCAGAATCTAGAAAGAAGTATTACTATAAAGTATTTATATACCTTAAGCTTGATCTTTGCTCAAGGTCGAGCACGTGAAACGGGTCGAACGACAGTCACAACTTTTTATGTTTTAACAAATTTCCAAGTTATTTTATTTGTACCTATTAACTTTTGCTGAACTACTCATGTCACAAATTAAAAGCCGACATGTCTCTCGTCCTGCCCCCACACACCGAAAGCATTCAGAGATAGGAAATCGCCTACGCTCAGTTGCCAACACGGGGGACACTCTTGATATGCTCGTATCCTTGCGGAGGACAGCTTCCTTTCATAAAGCCGGTAATGGAAAATGCAAGTCCCAAAAGCAAAAGCCATATATCATCAATTAAGAGCAATGACGTCTACATTTCCGAGCTCGTGTAATGCCCCACATGCAACGCCCACCCGCCCACCGCAGTACTTAGTCCAACATCAGATACGCCCATGCATCTATATATAGTTAGCAGTTATCATGTGGCGCAATGCTTTTCGCTTTTCGCTTTTGCCATTTTGCTAGAAATGCAATTGGCATTTCCAACTCAATTTTCTTACTTTTCTGCTTTTCACTTTTCACCCAAAAAGTTTCTGTTTATTTTTGGGCAGGACATAAAATCGATATCGGGTGTCCCCCGCTTTAA